CTGGCTGGGCACAGCTCCAGCAATGCCCCTGGCTCCTCTGGGTGCAGGGTGATGGACCAGGCTGTCCCACTGAGCACAGCCCAAACCTGCACAGCCCAGCCCAGCACAGGGATGGGGTGTTTGCTGGGGGAGCCCTGCAGCCCCCTGCTCCCCTGTGCCCCTGCCCAGCAGGCATTGCTCCTTTCCAGAGCTGTCCCACCCCATCCTCTCACTAACTGGAGTGTTTGCCCCATCCCTGTCCTCTACCTCAGGCTTCCAACTGCATCTGGGTGGACTCAGAGACGGGTAGGAATTTGCCCCAGTGTCCCAGGGAAGGATGATGTCCCCAAAACAGACGCTGTCTCGAGGAGGATCTGGGGAAGATCTGCTGCTCATGGGCTCCCTGTCCCCCTGAGGGAACCCTGAGGGTGGCACCACCAGGTTCAGGGATTCAGCAGCACCAGGGTGCCTTGGGACAGCTTGGTCCCAGAGGAGTCAGGAAGGGACAGGAATGTTGGTGGGATGCTGGTGCTGCAGGATGAGCCTGAAGCACGGTCCTGGTGTGGGGGTCCTGCTCTGCCCTCCAGCACCAGCCCTGCACTGCCCTCCTGCCCCCCAAACTTGGGCAGAAAGGGGCTGCAGGGCTCCAGCTGGGGCCCATCTGCAGGGAGCCTGGCTGGAGCCACAGCCAGGCCAGAGCCAAATCCCCAGCAGAGTCAGCAGAGACAGGGGAACCTCTCTGCAGGCCAGGGGTTCATGGCTGCTGGGGTTGTGGCTCAGGCACTGGATGGAGGCTGTGGGAAGCAGATGTATCCTCAGTGCTCTGGCACAGAGCCAGGCTTTGGGAGCAGAGCTGGTTACAGGGGCTCCTGGGGACAGGCTGTGTGCAGGGATGTGCTGCACTGACTGATGCCACCAGTGCCATCCCTGCCAGGCCACTGGAGATGGCTGCTCCACAGCACCAAGGGCACCAGGAGAGATGGAAGAGCCCTTGGAAGGGTGTAGGGGGAGGAGGCAGCAGCACAGCAGCACCAAGGGCTGCAGGTGCCTGCAGGGAACAGTTGCAGTGTGCTGGGTGCTGGCTGTGGGGCAGAGCAGGCTGCTGGGTGCCCAGGCTGGCTCTGGCCTTTGGGCAGAGGAGCTGGGACATGCTGGGAGGTGGTGCTGGGTGCAGGATGCTGGTGCTGGTGTCCTGATTCTGTGTCTGGGGAGATGCTGCTGTGCATAACCGATGGTGCTGCCGAGTGCTGGCATCACTCTGGCCATCAGCTGCTGCAGTGACCAGCCCAGGGCCAAGGAAAAGGCTGGGGTGTCGGGGGGGGCAGTGTTCCAGGCTGTTCCCCACACACCACGTGGAGCCCTGGGAGGTTTCCTGAGTGCTGGGAAGGTCTTTCAGCAGGGGTTTGATGTTTGATGGCTTCGTGAGGCCAGGAATGGCCACAGCACTGGGACACCAGCATGTGACTCTGCCATCATCTTGTCCAAGGGCTATGGGACTTGGCTCCCAGATCTGGGACTGGGAATGCTGGTCAGTCCTGGCCAGCCCTCCCAGAGCCACAGCGAATCCTCTCCCTCCCTTGGCCTCCTCCTTTGGCAAAGGGGATGTTTTTCTTGCTATTCTCAATGCAGCGGAAATTGCCCCAAGCTGATTTGGGACAAGAGCGCCTTCAACTCACTTGGCCTGTCCAGGCAGGCCTTGGGAACCCTGGGACGGTGGTGGTGGGTGTGATGGGCCCTGCTTCTCCTCTGCAAGAGCCATCCAGAATAGAGGAAGACCCTGATGGACAATCCTGCTGTTCCCACCTTGGCTGGATGGACAGACAGACATCCAGCTAAACTTCTCCCTTTTGCAGAAAAGGGAGCTGGGCAGGGACTACAGGGTCAGGAGACATTTTTATCCTTTCAGGAGTCACAGAAAAGTGGCTCTAAACCCTGGGATGCAGCCACAGGCTGTGACCTCCCTACAGCCTTTGGAGGAGGGGTGGTGGCCTTAGGTAGCCAGGGATTTGCCCTGAGCCTGGTAGAGCCAAGCCCCCTGTGATGTCCCTGCAGCAGGGCCCACCTGTTCTGCCTCCTCCCTCACCAGGTCTCCTCACTGGGAGTCACCACCTTCAGCCTCTGTGCCCTGGGCATCGACAGGTTCCACGCAGCCACCAGCCCCCAGGCCAGCACCCGGCCCATCGAGCAGTGCCAGTCCATCATTGCCAAGCTGGCCGTCATCTGGGTGGGCTCCATGACGCTGTCGGTGCCCGAGATCCTGCTCTGGCAGCTGGCGCGGGACACGTCGCCCGTGTCCGGCGTGGTGACCGAGTACTGCACCATGAAGCCCTGGTCCCACCTGCCCGAGTCCATCTACTCGCTGGTGCTCACCTACCAGAACGCTCGCATGTGGTGGTACTTCGGCTGCTACTTCTGCCTGCCCGTGCTCTTCACCGTCAGCTGCCAGCTGGTGACGCGGCGCATCCGCGGCACCGACAAGAAGAGCGAGTGCCGGGGCGCCAAGCACGGCCAGAGCGAGGGCCACCTCAACTGCACCATCATCGCGCTGACCGCCATCTACGGGCTCTGCACCACCCCCGAGAACGTCTGCAACATCGTGGTGGCCTACATGTCCCCCGACCTGTCTAAGCAGACCTTGGATCTGCTCAACCTCATCAACCAGTTCTTCCTGTTCTTCAAGTGCTCCGTGACGCCCGTCCTGCTCTTGTGCCTCTGTCGTCCCCTGGGCCAGGCCTTCATGGACTGCTGCTGCTGCTGCTGCGAGGGCTGCGGCCCCGACACCACTTCCAGCGAGAGCAGCGCCGACAGCAAGCTCAAAACCGAGATGTCCTCCTCCATCTTCTTCGACAAGCCCCGGGAGACTCCCCCACCCCTCCTGGCCCTTGGCACCCCATGCTAAGTGCCACTGGGGAGCCGTAGAGATCATTTCACCTCCTCCTCCCAAGACCAAACGTTGTTCTGCCATTAGTACTCATGTCTGGATGTGGAACAAGCAGAAAGAGACAGCTCAGGGGGCTGCGCCGTGGGCTTCAAACCCAGCTTTGGGCAGGTGGGGCTTGAAATGCCAGTCCCTGTGGCTACCCTGGTGACCCTCTTGACTCTGCCCAAAGGTCAGCGAGGACAGCAGCACCCTCCTGTCCCTGGGGCTGCTGCTCTGGAGATGGCATTGTGCCGGAAAGGTCTTACCTGAAACTACAGAGGCTGACCATGATGGCTCACAGAGGACACAACAAACACAAACTGCCCTCTTCCTGTCCCCTCCCCTCCTGCCAGCCCCTCCACAAGAGGAGAAGTTCCAACTGGTCGTATCCCACGGATCCAAGCCGTGCCCTGTATGAGCTCAATAAACCAGTAACCTAGAGCACGTCGTGCTTGCACCCTCTGGCACTGCTGGGCTGAGCCCCGGGAGCCCCCTGGAATGGCTCTTCCCTAAACCTGGGGGGCTGTGGGGTGGGCATGGGCAGCTGGGGGGCAGGAGGGCAGGGAAGCAGCTGTGCCAGAGCGGGCAGCAGCCAGGGGAGATGGGGAAAGGCCCCCAGTCCCTTTGCTCCCTCCCTCTTGGGTGATGCTGAGTGGTGCCTGTGACAGGGTGCCCGCTGAAGTGTTGGGTTTGGGGTGATTTGTAGGACCTGAACTGGTCTCAGTAAAGTCCAGCTAGCCCAGCAGAGGGCTGAGGTAGCCCCGGTCTGGTTCCCCATGGGCGCTATCCACAACCAAGGTGCTGCTGCTGCACCGTGCTGCTGTGCAGTGCTGTGGGAAGATGTGGGACCACCACCCCCAGCACCCCTTGGCATGAGAGCATCTCTCCCAAACTGCCCCACAGGGCTCCTGGCCCTCATCCACGTGCCCACTGCAGGGACAGAGTTGTCCCAGGAGGATGGTTTCAGGGCACCAGGGTTTCCAAGCCCACATGTTCCCTGCCAGGCAGGGGAGTCAGGGAGCAGGGGGGTCAAGGAGCAGGCAGGACGGATCTGCCCGAGGGCAGCCCGGCCAGGGCAGCCCAGCCAGCGGAGCTGTTAGAGCTCCTTGTCCCGAGCGCTGGCAGCCGGCCCAGCCCCGGAGTGCCAGGGCGAGGGAGCCGGTTGCCAGGGGCACTGAAAGCCAGGGGCTCACTGCGGGCTTTGTGCGCAACACCCACCGGGCCCCGCGCGCGCTTCGCTTTCGCAGAGCCGTTTCCAGGGAAACAAAAGCCCCAGTTTTCTTTCGAGAGCACAAAACTGGGTTTTTCCTTTCATCCTCCTCCCCGCGAGCCCGTGCTGGGCCCCACCGTTTGGGAGAAGAGGGGTCTCGTGTCGGCCCAGGGATGCAGGGGGCTCGCAGTCCATGCCATACCTCCAGTGTGCCTGCAGGGTGAGCGGGGTCCCTGGGAGGGTCTGGGGGCTCTGGGGTGCTGGGGGAGGGCACCTCTCAGGAGCCTGGTCCACATCGCTCTGTCCTGAGCCGGGGCCAAGGGCAAACAAAGCCAGGCTTGTGCTGCAGCCTCGCGGGGAGGGGCAGGGGGTGCAGGCAGCACTGTCACCATGGCTGTGGCAGCACCCCACGGGCCAGCCCTGCTCCCACCCTGCTGCCTGGGCAGCTGACAAGGCAGGGCAGGGGCCACCCCCGGGACATGGCACGGTGGGACCCCAGCAGCAATGGCCAGCAGCTCCTGGGGACACGGGGAAGGAGTCACCTCCAAAGGACACAGGAGCCCTGCAGCAGTGAGCACAGCCCCCAGGAGGGAGCAGGGAGAGGGGGCAGGAGCACGGCAGGCACCCCAGACCCAGCAGGGCTCTGCAGCAGTTCTGGGACACAGCAGGGGCAGAGGAAGGTCCAGCAGCAATGATGGCCATGGATGGCGTGTCTGAGCTGGTCTTGGCACCCAGGCCAAGGAAACACGGATCTGAAACCATCAGAGGTGCCTGCTCAATGGCCACACAGTGCCCAGTGCTACCCAGGGGACAGGGACCTCCCTCCCAGGCAGGGCCCCCAAGGATGGGTGGCAGAGATGGAGAGAAGTAACGTGACAGCAACCACACCCGCAACGCAAAATTGTTAATTTATTATTAGGAGGCAAAAAAAATTGTACAGTTACAAGAATCATTTCCCAACAGAGGTCAAATCTGAGTCAAAATATCTCTTACAAAAAAAAAAAAAGGTGGGGGGTGGGAGGGAGACAACACTTTACAAGTTGTTAAATTAAAAAAAAAAACAAAAAAAAAAAAACCAAAAAAAAAAAAAAACCTCTCTTTGTGCAATTCTGCAAAAACAAGAACAGAAGGTAAATTCCTGGCCTGACACCCTGGAGCTGAGTGGGGAGAGGCTGAGGGGGCCCTGCAGCCCCCCTGGCCATCCCCACCCTGTGCCCCAGCCCTGCACTGGGACCAGCAGCTGCCTCCCCTGCACACCCAGCCTCCAGTGCCAGCCCAGTCCCCCAGACTGGCCCCAAACAACCTGGCCAGGCCCCAGGCTGCACCTCAGAGCCCCAGCCCATGGCACAGACATGGCACAGCCACAGCCTTTGTCACACCACAGGACTTCCACAGTCCCCCCTGTGCACACACAGACCTGACCATCGTCCCCACAAGCCCTGCTGGCCCTGCCCCACGGCTCCTGTGCCCCCCAGCCAGGGCAGCAGAGCAGGGGGAGCATGGAATGGGGAGTGGGGAGCAGGGAATGGGGAGCAGGGCATGGGAAGTGGGGAATGGGGAACAGGGAATGGGGAGCAGGGAATGGGGAGCAGGGAATGGGGAGCCGGGTATGGGGAGTGGGGAGCAGGGAATAGGGAGCAGGCACAGACAGCACAGCGAGCAGGAATGTGGTGCAAGCATGGGGAGCAGGGAATGAGAAACAGGGAATGGGGAGCAGGACATGGGGAGCAGGACATGGGGAGCAGGCACAGCACACACCCCTGGGTCTGGTGAGCAGCACTGAGGGTGCACAGATATTTCTGAGCATGTCTCCAGGTGCCTCCACGTGTCCCTCCTTCTCTGGCATCCCAAGGGATGTCCCTGGCCAGGGCAGAGCCAGCAGCCCCAGCCGGGCACAGGTGATGCCACTTGGCACGTGGGGAGCCAGCACAGCTCTCCTGAGAGGCAGCCTGGGACAGACAGGTGGGAGGCAGGTGCCAGCCCCAGCTCCCCCAGGGGCTGCTGGCATTGCTGGGCCCCCAGCACTGGTACCAATGCCCCAGATCATCCCCGAGCAGCCAGGCTGGGCAGTGGGCAGGATTTGGCCAGGCACAAGAGCAGGGGACTCATGGGGCAGGGGGACAAGTAGCCCTCGACCCCAAAGAGAGGCTGGGGAAGTGGAGGCAGTAGGGGGAGGCTGATGGCAGTGGCTTGTGGCGAGTCCCTGTCCCCCGGAGGGGTGAGGAGCCTGCAGGTGGCATTGACACGTCCCCCCCACCCCCCAAACCTGAGGCAAGCAGGGCAAGGTGGGCACCCCCCAACACCCCTAGGGTGGTCTCTGCCTGGAGGCAGCAGCAGGACACCCAGAGAAGGGAAAAGGGAGCCCCAGGGGACATGCCTGCAGCTGGCACAGCCCCATCCCCACGGGCTGCCTTCTGCTACCACCCTCCTCCTCCTCCCAACACTGACCCTTGGCTGGCCTTGGGGAGCCCCAGCTTTCCTACTGCTCACAGGGCCCAATTTAATAACAGCACTATCCCTTAAATTAAAAAATTAAAATATATATACATATATATATACTGTATACACAGACAACAACAGAACAGTGCCAAAATGGAGGAAGGGGGGAGGAGAGGAAGGGGGAGAGGAGGGCAGTCGGACATCTTCTTTACAATAAAAACAAGGACTCTGCCCCAATGTCAGCAGAGTCTGGGGTCCCCTAAAAATACCCATCTAGAGAGAGAGCTGGAGGGACAGAGCAGGAGAGAGGGGCATGGGCTTGGACAATGGCATCTTCCCAATCCGAGCCAGGCCCGCGGGACCTCAGCTTCGCCTGGACTTCGAGTGCTGGATAAGCCACTGTAGGGTGATGTCTGCAGAGGCAAGGGGACACTTAGAGCCTCTGTCCCTGGCTGTCACCTCCCCCTGTTCCTGGGCAAACACGCCCCCCATGACCCCAGCCCACAGCACTCACCAATGTTGTCCTTTTCTTTGCAGGAGATGGAGTAGCAACAGATCTCTCGGTCCTGGATGGCAGAGAGGTTCCTGTGGGAAGGGAGCAAGTCTGGCTGCACACTCTGAGCTGTGTGGGGTGGCCATGGCAGACACCCCCAGGCAGCTCCTGAAGGGTCTCTCTGGCCTCTGTCTCTGAGACAGGGCACAGTGGAGGGGCAGCAGCTCCCCAGGAGCTGTGTGTGGGTCAGGAGAGGGCAGCATGGCTCCACGCCTGAGGGGCAGGGGTGGTATGGGAGCGGGGGCTATGTGACAGGGCAGGAGGGACCTGATCCCAGGGAGACCCTGGCCACCAAATTCCATAGGTCCCCCCAGCCCTGCAGCCAGATGGTGCAGGGAGGTTTTGGGAGTGGCACAGGGCTGGCAGCATGGGAGCTGCACAGGTGCCCACGGTGCAGCGGTGCTCTGAGAAGTGGCTGAAGGGGAGGAAATGCTGTGAGTCAGTGCAGCATCCAGGCTCCCCCTGTGGAGGAGCCCAGTCCCACTGTCCAGGGCGGTATCTGGGGCAGACCAGCTCCAGCAGCCAGTGCCACGCTGTGCCGGGCCCCCACGCCACCATGTGGCACGTGGGACCCAGCCCTGGCACTGGTGGCTCCAGCTCCTCTGTGTCTCCACAAGGCGTCACCTCAGACATCCTCAGCCACTCGTCTCTGCCAGCCACCCCAGGCCCACAGTGCCACCCCAGATGGGCAACCGTGCTGGGGGGGACATGGCAGAACAGGGAGGGGTCACTGTGTCACACTCCCTGTGCCTGGGGTCACAGTGTCACACCCCTGTGCCCAGGGGTCACACTGCGTCACACCCCTGTGCCCCAGGGGGACACTGGCACATTGTGTCACACCCCCTGTGCCCCAGGGGTCACACTGTGTCAGACCCCTGCACCCCAGGGTGACACTGGCACACCGTGTCACACCCCTGTGCCTCAGGGGGACACTGGCACACTGTGTCACACCCCTGTGCCTCAGGGGGACACTGGCACACTTACATCTTCTCAATGAGCTCCTTCTCATCCAAGGCACCGGGCAGGTCCCGCTTGTTCCCCAGGACGAGGACCTGCAGGGCAGGACAGGGGACACCTGAAGCACCTGGCCACCAGACCAGGCAGGAACCTGCTCCTGCCACTCAGAAGCAGAGCCTGCTTGTGAGACCAGATAGCCCTGGCTACTCCCCTAGGATGTCCCAGACAGAAACCCCCTTCAGCAGCACTCAGGAGGCAGAACACTTCAATTAACTGCCTTAATTAGCGTACACAGCATCTCCTGTGCATCCCCTGCTCCCAGGGTGGGCATGGCCCCACAGCTCATCCTCTCTGGAGGGCACCAGCATCTGCTGTGCCACTCGGGACATCCTCCCAGGAGCCTCTCACTGTCTCTGAGCAAGAAGTCCAGTGAAATGGCTAGCACTGACTCTATCCAGCAGGAGCAAGCTCGAGATGCTGGGCAGAACCCACTGTGCAGGCAGCCGGCCCAAAGCAGGATCAGCTGCTTGTGCCAGCAGGACTCTCTCCCGGCAGGACTGCTTTGTCCCCCCGGAGCATCCATGTGACTGTCACCTGACAGGGCGGCGCCGAGCCTGGGCTGCTGCACTGGGCCGGGCCCTGCAGCAGCACAGGATGAGCATCTCCCCCACCCCGGTTCCAATCAGCAGCCTTGTTCTCAGGAGAGAGCCTTCAGAGGCCTGCAACTGCAGCCTGGTATGTCAGCAGCTTCATTTAGCTGGCAGTGGGCACTGGGGATCCGTGGCAAGATCTTCAGTTAGCTCCTTTCAAAGGATGCTGATTTGGGATGGCTGGTGAACAGCCCACCCCACAGGTACAGCATACCTGTGACACGTGCCACCTCCTGCACATGTTCCAGCCCCATGTCCCACCTCCTGCAGATGTCACAGCCCAGCAGCCCCTCTCACAGGAGACAGCACCTTCCTGTCACGCCACAAATCAGGTGCAAATCCATGTGAGAGGACAGATTTCACCCAGGGGGCCTGGTCTGTGCTCTCTGCCCTAAAGGTCCCTCTGTGTTGCTTGGCCCATTTCTGACCTAGAAGTGTCACTGCCCCAGCTGCCTCCCCCAGGAGTGCAGCAGGGAAGTGATGCCTCCAAGGAAGGGGAGTCTCTCCCTGAATCTGCTCTGCAAGCCCTGGCAGTGCCCAGCCTGGGGACCACGACTGAGGCACCAGCTCACCGGGATGCCCTGCAGCTGTGGCTTGTCAAGCAGGTTGTGCAGCTCGTTCTTAGAGGCCTCTATCTTCTCCTGGTCAGCAGCATCCACCATGTACCTGCAAGGGAAGGGACAGCCCTGAGCACAGGTGCCCAGGTCTCCATGGTCTCGTGCTGTGCTGAGGTCCATGCCACCCCCAAACCTCCTCCCATGGCAGCTCACTGCCCCCACTGGGAACTGGGCCAGCACGTGCAGGGGGTTGATAACAGGATCCTTCCACCCCTTCCCAAGGATGGCTGTGGAGCTGAGAGCCCCTCATGTCTCCCAGGGGAGCAGGGGACCACCTCATCCTTGTCTCTGCAGGTGTCTCCCTGCTGACAGCAGCGACAGGCTGGGTGAGGGAAGGCCAGGCAGGAGAAGCTGCAGAACACACATTGTCTCCAACAACGTGCACATGGCAGCTCCATGTAAACACACAGGAGAAGCAGAGAAGGCAGGAGAAGCTGAGGATGCAGAGGTGACATGACCCAAGGGGAAGGACCTCCCCATCCCATTGATGGGATAGTCTTGGGAGGGGCCATGGAGCATGTGGATGTGAAGCTGGTGGCCACCAATGCTTCTCTGAGCTGAAGGGGAGATTTGGGAAAGGATTTTGTTCTTAAAGGCCAACTTCTATCCTGCAAATAATGTCAGTGAAGTCAAAACTTGGGTGAGGAACCGACCAAAGCAGCCTTGATTTCAAAGATCAAGAAACTGTGAGAGGGTGAGAAACACGGGCTCATCAGGCTTTGGGGAGTTATTTAAAAATGGGAAAAGAGCTACTAACTACTAAAGTGCTTAACACAGGAAAATGGGAATGCTGTGCTAAGAGGGAAAAACACCCCCAGGGACTGCCCCAGCCCTTGGCATGTTGGGCATGGGGGAGAGCTGAGAGCAAAGGGAAAGGGACCTGACACAGCTCGATGTGACGAGGGCAGACTGGAGTGTGACCTGGATGCTGACAGGTCCTTTTGTTTCCTGACAACCACATGGGCCAAAATTATGATATTATGGAAGGAGGCAGCAAAAGGAGTGAAAGGACAGAGATTCTGTCATTTCCAGCAAAGCTCATTATAATAAAAAGTGTAATAAAAATACTCCTGCAGGTCCAAGGCCATGTCCCAACATGCAGAACCAGCAGTACCACACTCCTCACCTGCCAAGGCTTAGAGTTGGGAAGGGTAGCACAGAAAGCATCCCTCCAAATCTCAGGGGATGGCCACTTGGGAAAGATCCCATAAATCTTATTTTCTGACTGGGTTTAAGTAACCCCAGCATGGTGTCCTAAGATCAGTATTTGTCCTTTGGAATAGGCAAGCTGCTTCCCATGAGTGCCTGGCCATGCTCACCCCAGCCTGGACTCCCTGGGATTGCTTTTCCTGCACTGTTTGCAAGCAGGGGACACCCAGGGACACTCAGATTTGCTGAGTCAGTAGCGGGTGAGACTCCTGCTCTCAGCACAAGATTTATCTGGCAGCACATAAACATCCTGACCTGGAAACCAGCCTCTCCTGTGGGAAGGGCTGAGCTCCATGACCGGGTGTGCTCAGCCCCTGCGGTGAGCAGCCAGCACAGAGGATGCATGGAGCCTGGAAGGGTGAGATCTGAGGAACAGAGCTGGACTGAGGGATGCTGGAAGGGAACAGGAGGGTCTGGCACAGCTGGAGGGACCTGGCTGTCCTTTGCTCAAAGCCCATGTAGACATCAGTCCCCTGGGGAACTATCTGGAAATAAGGAGGCTCGGGGGGACCTTAGTGGTCTCTCCAATTCCCTCGTAGGAGGGTGAAGCCAGGTGGGGGTCGGGCTCTCCTCCCAGGAAACAAGCAACAGGACCAGAAGAAACGGCCTCCAGTTGGACCAGGGGAGGTTTAGGTGGGATATTAGGGAAAATTTCTTCCCTAGAAGGGTGGCCAGGCCCTGACACAGGTTGCTCAGGGCAGTGGTAGAGTCACCACCCCTGGAGGCGTTCAACCATCTGGGGACATAGTCTAGTGGTGAATATGGTGGTTGTTGGGTTAATGGTTGGACTTAATGATCTTAGAGGCCTTTTCCAACCTTCATGACTCCATGATGATTCAGTGATTCCAGCTCCTGACAGGGGTGTCCAGCTCGGGCAGCAAAGGCACCCCATCACCCCAGGTGATGCCCCCCTCCCCTGGCAAGGCTCAGCAGCAGCAGCAGCAGCAGGGGGTGGCAGCAGGGCTCTGGGATACTCACACGATGGCACTCACTCCACGGCAGTATCGCTCCCACATGCTGCGGAACCGCGGCTGTCCCCCGATGTCCCAGAGCTGTGACAGGAGATGGCAGCGTTACCCTGGCACCGTGCCCAGCACCCCACACTCCTGCCTGACACCCTGCCTCCCACATGTGGCCACCTGGGGCATTCTGGCCATACACCAAACCCACCCCCATCCTCTCCTCTTCAGCTCAGACCTCAGGAGGAGGCTCCAGACTTGATAAAGAAGGGAGAAACCTCAGGAAGGGGAGCTGGAGGATGCTGAATCCCCCTGTGTGTGCCTCTGCTGGCACAGAGGGACCCCTGGCCCAAGCTGGGTGCTCCTCCCCATGCCCATCACACCTCTTGCCATTTTCCTGAGGCCATTTCCCATTTAAGAACAATCAGCACACTCCCAAGTGTTCCTGCATCAGTCAGAGATCCCACAGCCAGCTTTTCAAGCCTGTCAACAGCTGTTTCCCAGTAAAACCCCGAGCCCTTGAAAAATCCAGGTAGAACCCTTCCCTTCCTCTGCTCCCAAGGCAGAGACCACCACTGCAAGCCATGACCTGACCACCCTCAACAAGGTGACCACATCCATAAATCCCCACCAGCAAGCCAGAGACACAAGGAATATGTAGACATCAGTCCCCTGGGGAACTGTCTGGAAATAAGGAGGCTCAGGGGGGACCTTATTGGTCTCTCCAATTCCCTCATAGGAGGGTGAAGCAAGGTGGGGGTCGGGCTCTCCTCCCAGGAAACAAGCAACAGGACCAGAAGAAACGGCCTCCAGTTGGACCAGGGGAGGTTTAGGTGGGATATTAGGGAAAATTTCTTCCCTAGAAGGGTGGCCAGGTTGCTCAGGGCAGTGGTAGAGTCACCACCCCTGGAGGCGTTCAACCATCTGGGGACATAGTCTAGTGGTGAATATGGTGGTTGTTGGGTTAATGGTTGGACTTAATGATCTTAGAGGCCTTTTCCAACCTTCATGACTCCATGATGATTCAGTGATTCCAGCTCCTGACACGGGTGTCCAGCTCGGGCAGCAAAGGCACCCCATCACCCCAGGTGATGCCCCCCTCCCCTGGCAAGGCTCAGCAGCAGCAGCAGCAGCAGGGGGTGGCAGCAGGGCTCTGGGATACTCACACGATGGCACTCACTCCACGGCAGTATCGCTCCCACATGCTGCGGAACCGCGGCTGTCCCCCGATGTCCCAGAGCTGTGACAGGAGATGGCAGCGTTACCCTGGCACCGTGCCCAGCACCCCACACTCCTGCCTGACACCCTGCCTCCCACATGTGGCCACCTGGGGCATTCTGGCCATACACCAAACCCACCCCCATCCTCTCCTCTTCAGCTCAGACCTCAGGAGGAGGCTCCAGACTTGATAAAGAAGGGAGAAACCTCAGGAAGGGGAGCTGGAGGATGCTGAATCCCCCTGTGTGTGCCTCTGCTGGCACAGAGGGACCCCTGGCCCAAGCTGGGTGCTCCTCCCCATGCCCATCACACCTCTTGCCATTTTCCTGAGGCCATTTCCCATTTAAGAACAATCAGCACACTCCCAAGTGTTCCTGCATCAGTCAGAGATCCCACAGCCAGCTTTTCAAGCCTGTCAACAGCTGTTTCCCAGTAAAACCCCGAGCCCTTGAAAAATCCAGGTAGAACCCTTCCCTTCCTCTGCTCCCAAGGCAGAGACCACCACTGCAAGCCATGACCTGACCACCCTCAACAAGGTGACCACATCCATAAATCCCCACCAGCAATTGCAGCTCTAACCCTAACCTCCAGCTTTGCAGCTCTAACCCTAACCTCCAGCTTTGCAGCCCAGACTGGCTCTCATTGCACAAGTCTGGATCTCCTACAGCCCTTCCCACCACCTCGTCTGGTGGGTACCTGCAAAACCCTAACAGGGCAAATCTTTCACTTCCAGGTGGTGGAATCACAATCCCTGGAAATGTTAACAAAACACGTGGATGTGGCATTTGGACACATGGTTTAGTGGTGAACACGTCACTCCTGGTTGGACTTGATCTTAAAGGGACTTTCCACCCTAATGCTGCTATGCTTCTGTTCTGTGAGCTGCAGCTGGGATCCCTGGAATTCTTCCACCTTCAGCAGAAGAGCCACCTATCTCCCTCACCTTCACCTTTCATTCCAAGTAACAACTGCATCTTACCTTTATGGTAACATTCCCTTTGGTGATCTTCCTCATGTTGAAACCCACTGTAGGGATCATGTCCTCATTGAACTGTCCTGACTGCAAGGAACAAGGTGAGACAGCGTTAGGAGGTAGAGGAATGGGGCCAGCCTGCCCTGGCAAGGCAGCAAGGCTGACAGCCTGGGATAACCCCAAGGGCTCTGCCAGCCCTGCCCTGGGCACGGTGCAACCCTCCTGCAGGTCCATGCCAGGAGCACAGAGCCCAGCAGACACGGTGCCACTAGGACTATGGGAATGTTGTTCTTTTACAGCTGGGAGAAAGCCTGGTGGGCAGAGGGAAGCCATTGTGTCGTTGTGCTGGGCTTGTGAGCATTTTGCATGTAAATCACCCTCTCTTTGTACACTTTTGTTATTAGTAGTGTTGCTGTTCCTAGTAAATTGCTCTTATCTCAACCCATCATCTTTGCCTTTTGTGCTTCCAGTTGGAGGGGGAAGGGGAAGCAAGAGGCAGCCAACACCCAACACCAGTGGGAGCACTAAACTGGGGAATACATTCCTAAACCATGACACTGTGGCTGCTGCAATGGGCACAGGTACCCTGGGTACCCCAGTGCAGCCCCCAACCCTGCAGCCAGCTGCCACCCTCAGCCCTGCACACGCTGTTGTCCCGGTGGGCTGGGGCACTGCCCATCCCAGCACTCTCAAGCCCTTTGTGGAGGAGGCTGAGACCTTGCTCCTCTGCAGTGACCTCTGGTGAGGCAGCCCTGGAAGGACCCCCAGGGTTTCAGGCTGGGCTCCCCAGCCAGGGAGCCACCTCCTGCTCCAGCTCCTTCCCAGATGCAAGTCCTGGGGGCACCAGCATGCTTCGTGCTTTGGATCACTTATGGCCCAGCCCAAACCAGACTGACTTCTGCTTTCAGGCAAGAGCTGTCTGCACTGCTTCTCCAGTTCTGCATCCTGCCTGTGCTGGGTGACTTGGGGATCACAGAGGGCCCCCCTCCTCTCCCCAGAGCTGCTCCAATGTCTTTGAGTTTATGCATCAGATGCATGAGATCCCTGCGGGGCTGCAGCAGCCCAGCCCTGCTGGTCAGGCTTGTGGAGCAGTGAGCAGGAGCCATCCCTCTGCTGATGCTGGCTCATGAACCACGTGTACAGCACCGCCCCAAGGGGTCTTGTGAGAAATGACCCTCACTTTTAAAATTTTAAAGGTTTATTAAACATTAACAAAAATACAACAAAAGGACTAAATAAGGAAAAATTACAGCACTGGGAGCCCCCGTGACTACCAGCCACACGCTCATCTTCAAAATGGATGCTCGGCTTTTTATACCTCTAGACCCCCTTAAAGTCCTGTCAGTTAACCCCTTCCCTGCTGTCCAGGGGGGTAGATCACTTTCTCACACCTTGCGTGGAGCTCAGGTGTTGCCACAGTAATGAGCCAACCCTCCCAAATGCCCCGAGTACCAAGGCCAGCCCATGATGACAATGAGGGGGGGACACATCACAGTAACACAACTCCACATCTACAAAACTTCTCTCAACACACACACATACTGTTCACCCTTCATTGTGAGAGCCACCATCCCATTCCCATCACTCATCTCTAACAGTCTGGCAAAGCCCACCCCAGTGCTGCTCAAATCCCAAGGCTTCAGGACAGGCCCAGGTGCAGCAGCACAGAGGGACATCACAGGCAGTCCCAGCAGGGATGTGGCAGCTCTGGGGCAGAAGACAGGAGCTGGCACAGCCTTCACCTCCAGCAGCATCCCTGGCACTCAAACCACTCTTATGGCCCATAAATGCGTCCTGGGGGGAGGCCATGCTGGGGAGTGCTGAGGAGCCAGCAGGGCAGAATGTCTGACGAGGGTAGTGCAGCCTTGGGGTTTCAGCCATCAGTGCCAGAAACCTGCAAGAACCACCAACCATGGCCAAACTCATCCTAGCAGGTCTTTATGGCCTTAAAATCCTCAGTTTCTTGAGGGCTTTTCTCTTAGTTAACACAAACCTCAAAACAGGAAGTCAGTTTATGCTGTTTTGTCATAAACATATTTTTGTGTCTGGTTGAGCCTGTGGCTCCTCCAGATGCACCACACCAGCAAGTCCCCAGGGTTTTCCTGACCTCTTCCAAAGGCTCTGCAATAGACCCTGCTTCCCTTTTTCACATCCCTTTTGTATTCAGCAGCAAAAGGCAGCAGCCAAGGGGTGTTCAGGCCATGCTGCACCCAGAAAGAACTGTGAGGAAGGGCATGGGGAGAGGAGGGGAAGCAGGCAGGGATCCACAGGGGATATCTCCTATGGACTGAGTTCAACACACAACTGAGCTCTATGAAACAAAGGAATTCTCAGGCTTTGATCAGTGGGCACAGAGAGCATTTGCTGAAGAGCTCTTGGAAGCTGCAGGCTCTGTCCTCAGGGATTCCAGACCACATCGTGGGATCTGCTGGCTGTGCAAAAGCCATACAAGATAAGGTTCCCATGTGACAGAAGCTTCTTCCAGGAGGGGGTGAGCTGCAGGAGCCAGGAGTCACCTCTTCTTTCCTCCACGGGTGGGACAGAGCATGTCTGTGTGAGTGACCACAGCCTTGCTCCCTGCCCCAAATCCCTCTCCCACTGCAGCACCTGCCTCCAGTCTGTCCAGGCCAAGGGGCCAAAATAAAACTGCTTGAGCTGTCCAAAACAGGCTGAGCAGGGAATGCAAGGCACTGTGCTCCAGCATGGCTCCCACGTGCTCCCTGCTGTCCCAGCACCCACAGAAGCATCTTGCACATGCTCCTCCTCTATCAGCTCATCCTGCATCTGCTGCTCTCTGAAAGCAACTCTCAGTGGTGGAAACACAGATTTCCTCTTCCCTCTCCAACTATCCCTGATGCTGATGCCTTCAACATATTTTCAACACCTTGCAGGGTCCAGCCATCCGCAGCTCCACTGCCAGGAAAGCAGGGGGCACCCAGATGGAGACCAGCAAAAGCTTCACTGGACACACTCTTCCCCCAAATTTTGGTTATGAAATGGGCATAGCACCTATGCTCACCCTGAAGACGATGCCAAGCCACACCAATTGCTTAAGAATGGAATTCACAGAGTTCACAGAATCACTAGGTTGGAAGAGACCTTCAAGATCATTGAGTCCAACCCAGTTCCACTGGGAAGCACAAAATTGTTGCAGGCAAGATGGATTTTGTGGCCACAAATGGCAGATCAGGTCTTTACAGACTCTAGTTCATTGCTGGTTTTGCCAGGGTCACCCACTGCCCTGCTCAAACCACTCTGCCTTGGTGCCCTGCCCCAAAACTTTCCAGGTGGGTCACTGGGAGAGGTGGCCAGAATTCAGCTTTTGCCAGGGCAAGCAGAGCCCCCAGCTCATGCTGAGCCCATCCTGACACATGCACATGGACACCACATCAGCTGCCACTTCAGCCATCACCCCTGGCCCAGGCCTTGGCTTGCTGGCACATGCAGAGAAGCCACCTCAGCCTCCCCCTGCTCTGGTGAGCGGCACACAGGGCTGAGGTTGCCAGGCCCTGCTCCTCACTGTGGCCAGGTGGCTGTCACCCTGTGCCAGCACAGGACGACACCAAACTGATGTGACCTGCTCTAGATACATCAGTGCTGGCTGTTCTGCAGCCCTGCTCCCCCGAGGGCAGAGATGGCAGTGCTGGAAGCCCAGCCCTGGGTCTCTGCAGTTGTGTTTCCATCAGAGTATGGCCCTTTGTAGGACAGAGGCAGGAGCCCAAAGCACCTCGGGTTGGGTGTCTCCCACCACTGCCTGGACCATCCCCAAAACTGCCCAGCCTGGCACTCCTGCAGGCATCTCCTGCCATGCGGCACTTGAGTCCCTGCCAAACCCTGTCCAAGCTCTAACATGGAGGGACACTTATATATAAACAATATAAAAAAGAAATGTTTTATGATGTGAGAGGTGAGGCCCTGGCACAGGTTACCCAGAGAAGCTGTGGCTGCCCCATCCCTGGAATGTTCAAAGTCAGGCTGGATGGGGCTTGGAGCAAACCAGTCTAGTGGAAGGTATGTGCATGCCAATGTTGGACAAGGTGATCTTTAAAGGTCCCTTCAAACCCAAACCACTCTGGGATCCTATCTCAGGAAATCCACACTGTCCATTTTTCTTGGCTCATGTTGACAGAGCTTGCAAGACAAGACCATGCCTCAGCCAGATTCTCCTCCTCTTCCAGGAATATGGAGAAGCCCCCCAGAAAACCTGACACCTTCTGCATGAAGCTAAGGAGCAAAGACACACCTGTGGAGGGCCCAGGTGCGCATCTGGAGGCAGAATGAGAACCCACAGCCACCTCCCACCCACGCTGGCCCTGCCAGACCCCACTCAGGGGGCACACCCAGAGTTCCTGGGAAAGGTGGGTATCAAGACAGACCGGTGCAAATACATCAGAACAACATCTCCCTGCTACTTCCTCAGCACCTCTCTGCTCTACCTCCCCAGCAAACCCTGGGGACCTTGCAGACCTGGAGCTGCATGTTCCCTCCCAGCTTCATCCAGGGCACATCCTGCCCAGATGGGTCAGCTGGCTGGCCAAGGGGTCAGCATCCCTCTGAGGAGGGGTGGAGCAGGGGCTGAGCTCTGCAGTCCTCTGAGCCACTCCCAGCCCATGCCTCCCCGGCAGCCCTGCTGGAGAGCTGGCCACCTGCCCCACCATCCATCCCACCTGGTGCCAAACACGAGGCTGCTGTGGTTCCACAGGATGGGTCAGGCTGGAAGGACCACAGTGGGTCACCTGATCCAACCCTTCTGCTCAACCAGGATCACCCCAGAGCACATGGCACAGCATTACTCCCAGACAGCTCTGGAATGTCTCCAGGGAGGGGGACTCCTCACCCTCTCTGGGCAGCCTGTTCAGTGCACAGGGAAGAAGTTCTGCCTCTTGTCCAGGTGGAACTTCCTGGGCATCAGCTCCTGTCCATTCCTCTTGCTCCATTGCTGGGTCCCAGAGAGCAGAGCCTGGTGCATCCTCTGAGCCCTTCCTGCAGACACTGACAGACACTGATGAGGGCCCCTCTCAGCCACCTCTTTTTGTCTGTTTGGCTCAACAACCTCAGCTCCCTCAGCCTGTCCTCATCAGAGACATGCTCCAGTCCTGTCAGCATCTTCACAGCCTCCACTGAACTAGCTCCAGGAGCTCCATGCTTCCTCCTGCAGCACTGGTCTCAATCACTTTCCAGGCAGGGCTGGAGCACAGGATGGTGCTCCAGAGCTCCCACCACATGTCCAACACCCTGGCACTTGTGCCTTCACTCTCTTGGAAGGCTCTAGCACAGGTAGAAGTATATGATGTTAAAAAGCAGCAACGCTCTCTTGTTCTAACCACAGCCTGCACTGACAGGTTTTGGGCCGCAGCACCTGCTCAGGAGCTCTCAACACCCTTGAGTCATCCATGGCACCACCAGACTGGAGAAAAGGCAGCTAGAAGCCCACTAGCTTCAGGTTAAGTCAAGACCAAGTGTGTATCTACACTTTTCATTTCTCCTTGAAGGAAAGACTTCAAACCTCAGCTATCAACAGCTAGGAAAAGAAAAAATAAGTCCAGGAAAATCAAAGTTCCCACCCCAGGCAGGTGACCCAGGAGTCATCCTGATCACAGCTGCCTTCAGCAAAGCCCTTGCCTGGCACAAGCACAGCCTGGCTGCTGGAGGGAGCCACCCACCTTCCAGGGAACCAGAGCCCACTTCTCAGTCAGGTGCAGCTACAAATCCTGCAAGAAAAGGATGGTGCCAACCCCCCAGAGCAGCTCCGGTCCCAGAAAGGCTTCTTGAGACATCTCTCCAACACTCCAAAATCCCACACTTCTTCAGTTCAGGTTTTATCCCCCCACAAAGCTCAAATCACAGCTATTTCCCCTTCCAACAACCCTACTGCAACACTCTAAAGCCAGGCACCTCCAGACCTTCTCAGGCAGTTCCTGTCGAGCTGGCATTTTCTGTGCCATGCTTCTATTTCACTGTGCCCAACAAGTTCTTCTTTCCAGGATGTCTTCTCAAAAGTTGGTGCCCCTTTTTGTGTGCATCTGCCACAAAACTTGAATTTTTCAAATAACATGAGAGGTCAAACTCAGCATCCTGAGCCAAACTGACATGTGAGGGTCTCAAACACCCCACAACAGACCTGACAGACCAGCAGGCCGTGGTGCCAACTTCAGCCACCTCAAGAGCTGCTGTAATTCCTCTAAGTCCCTTTTCCCTACACCAGCAATTCTGGCCAAGCAGAGAAATTCCCAGGGCATGGGTCTTGCCAGTGGGGTCCTGCCCACAGTTAAAGTGCCAGCTACAAAGTATTTACTCACAGAAGCAAACGCCACAAAGCCCACACTGAGCCCGGTCTGCTCCAGATGCGGCTGGGAGAGCAGGAGACATGTGGGGAACAGGGAACCAAGGAACACCAACCCTTGGGGTTTCCAGCCCTGCGCAGGCAGAACAGTGCAGCAGGTCTGGGATAAAGCTTCATCACCCTTCACAGCTTAACTGGGTGATTAAAACCAACACTAAATTACTCTGCCATTTTTAAGGGAGCCTGGGTGCTCTTAACAGGCAGCAGCACCCAGCAGACCAAGAGCAGGAACTGCCCACACGTGGCACCACCACATCCCACCCTGGCATGGGATTGCAAAAATTGACTATTAAACATGCAAATGGCAGGGAGAGGTCTCTCAAAAACAGGACTGGCGCTCAGAGTCACTGCCCCAAAGCCAAAATGCTCCCTGTCCCCAGACACTGATGTTGGTTTACGGGGGGAACCAGCAGGAGACTGGAGCACTGAGAAGTGACTTCCAGCAAAACAGCTTGAGAGCAGAAATGCCATTATCTCCAGGATGAAAAGCATTTTGGGTTGTCCTCTCTCTGCCCCTAGACACTTCAGGAAGGACATTTTTGTCCCTCAGCACCTCCCAAAGAGCATGGCTCCAGTGCAATGAAGCCTCCATATGAGTCCCTCTGACAGCCCAGCAGCTTCTAGCACCCTGAGCAAGCACCAACAACCTGCTCTGCTTTGAGCCATGGCAGGCACCCACTTCAGAGCAACCCGGGGGCAATGGGGGAACCAGGGCAGACCTGCATCCACCTCCCTCCACGAAACCCTCGGGGGGCAACAGCCCAAAGCCACCCTTCAGCATCCTCCCACCTTGCACCATCACTATTGAGAGGCCGAGAACAACCCAAAAAGCCAGGGGGGAGACTGCCGAGCATCCCCACGGGTGAAGCCACGCCCTGGGCGTCGGGATCCAGGACACGCAGCTCCTGATCCGCGGCTGGATGCAGGGACCCCGCGGAGTGGAGGAGGCAGCGCGGCCGGGGGCAGGCCGGGGCTGGAGGGGCCCGAGGCGGCTGTCGCTGCCCTGCCCCGCCCGGGTGCTGCTGCAGGAGCAGCCGGCACCCACAGCACGCTGCCGTGGTGAAGCACCTCGTGCTTCCCGAGGAAGGTCGCCAGGCAAACACCTTCACACCGGCCCCCAGGCAAGGAACCCCGGGGGCACCGAGCCCGGCGGGGCCGTCCTGAGGCCCCACCTGCGCGTCCCGGGGAGGCAGCGACGATGACAAAGCGCCCGCTGCTACGGGTCCGAGAGCGGAGCTCCCGCAGTGCCCCGGGCCCTGCCCGGCCCGGGCACCGGCACCGGCCGCTGCCCACGGCCGCAGCTCCTGCCCCGGGGCCTGCTCCGGCTGCGGCCCCGAGCATCCCCTCAGCTCCCGGGATGCGGGGAGAGAACGCTGCGGTTTGCCTGGGCTGCTCCGGGCCTGCACCCTGCACCCCACACTGTACCCCACCCTGCAGCCTGTATCCCACACTGTGCGCACACTGCACCCCACTGCTGCATCCCGCACCCCAGCCCGCACCCCCTCCCCAAAGGCATTTTCAGGCTGGGGTGCGACAGGGCGGAGACGTTCAGAGAAATACCCAGGGGTGCAATGGGGACACGCAGTGGGGGCGCAACGGGATGCAATGGGGGTGCAATGGGGATGCAATTGGAATGCAATTGGGGTGCAATGGGGTGCAATGGGGATGCAATTGGGATGCAATGGGGTACAATGGGGGTGCAATTGGGATGCAATGGGGCACAACGGGGGTACAATGAGGTGCAATGGGGGGTCCAAGGGTGAAGCCCTGGGTGGGCACGTGACCCCTCGGGGATGGGGCGATGCGGGCGTCCCCGGGCTCACCGCGATAACGTTGACGAAGGTGGTCTTGCCCGAGTACTGCAGCCCCACCAGGGTCAGCTCCATCTCCTCCTTCCAGAACAGCGCCCGGAACCAGTCCAGCAGCTTGTTGAAGAGCGCCAGCATGATGCCGGCCGGGCCGGGCCGCGCTGAGCGGGGCCGAGTTGAGCCGAGCGGAGCCGAGCCGAGCCGGGCCGGGCCGAGCAAAGCGGAGCCGCGCCGGGCCGGGCCGAGCCGAGCGGGGCCGAGCCGAGCCGAGCGCGGCCGGGCCGGGCAGGGCCGAGCGAGGCCGAGTGGAGCCGAGCGAGGCCGAGTCGGGGCGGGGCTAGTCGGGGTGGAGCCGATCGAGGCCGAGCGGTGCCGAGCGGAGCCGATGGAGGCCGAGCCGCCGCCGGTATTGTCCGCGCGCCGCGGGCCCTGCTGCCGCACCGGGTGGGGCCCGCGCGCCGCCTCCCCCGCCCCGCTGCCGCGCCCCCTGCCGGCCCGGAGGAGCCGCGGCAGCGCGCACCGAGCGGCCGGGTCCCCGGGACAGCGCGGACAGGCCGGACAGGCGGACAGCACGGAATATCCCACAGCCCTGCCCTGGTCACTGCCGGCATCCCCGACCCTCGGTAATCCAGGGCTCCTCAGGTCACAGTACGGCCTGAGGGAGGGGGGTGCACCTTCGTACCGCTGCACCCCTCAGCCCTGCACCCCCCCCCGAGCCCGCCCCGACACACCTGTACCCCAGTTCCCCTGCACCCCCAGTATCCCCCCAGCCCGCCCCCCCGTGCTCCCCGCGCCCCTTCACCTCGTGCCCGCC